CCTTACAGCAACTCCCCCTTATGAATGGCCTAATGGCCTAGCCCTGTTCCCTGTCGGTCCACTCTCACTCTTGGTAATCTGAAAACCCCCTTTCCTTCGCCTGGACCGTACCTTGGGAACTGCAGCCCTTCCGTATAATAAACTCTGTCACCAGTTCATAGAAACTTCAACTTGTTATGCACAAGAAAGGAAAAGCCACAAGGGGGGGGAGGGCTGCCTCTCCCGTACCTTCTACTCCGGGGACAGAGAGAGATTACAAGGGTTTAATTCCTGCTGGCCCCATCACAGGACACAGACGCCTTTTTTCGACGAGAATATTTTGTGCCCGTTCACATGCCACGATTTTAGGAAGCGTACGGGTCACTACAGAAGCGCCCAAATTCATCCGATGAGGCGATGAGAAATTTCTACTGCCTTTTTTTTTTCCCCCCACGTCCGATAGCCAGGCCAAGTACTGGTGGCTTAAACGCAATAGCCTTCCTGCCACAGCCACATCCACCTTGTAATCTCTCAGTCGTTTCAGGTCATTCCCACAGTCAATCGTTCAGTTATGCCATTAAAGTTTTTTTTTTTTTTTTTTAGGACAAGGCTCCAATCTATTTGTGGGGAGCAGCACGTGCTGGGAACCGGGGCCAGCGTCCCATATGGAAATTGACATAGAGAATTTTGAAAGTTTGAGATACTGGGGCCATTACCCGGCTTTGGCTAAGAAAAATTCGAGCAACTTCTTAGAAAATTACTACGACAAACTTCAGAAAAAAGGTCTGGCCACAACGAAACACGCCACCACAGATGTCTTACAAATGCTCAAGACCCTGTGTATCCCTAGCAACCCTTCTAAAGCTCTCCCACACTGTCTTAGTACTCCCTGCCGGGCTCTTCCAGGCCTCACACCCCCACCCTGCTGGGTTACGGGGCAACACGACTCACCCCAGCTCCGACCCGCGTCGTCCCAGCAGCAACCCTTGGTCGCCCCTCGGAATGCCCACCCCAAAGCATCCCCAGATCTCTCTACCAGGCCTCACACTCCTGCATCAGCAGGTTAGCAGGTTACAGGGCAACACCCCAGCACCGGTCAGCGTCGTTCTGGCATCGAACCGCCGCAGATCACTGACTATATCAGCAGTGGAGCCGTCTAAAAGACGTGTTGCTAGGAATCCCCAGAATCCTAATTTATTTTTATTTATTTTTATTTATTTTTATTTTTTTTTATTTTTTGCTAGGAATCCCCAGAATCCTAAATCATTCTTAAGACCCCCCTTGGCAACCATGAACATCCAGCCAAGCCTTGGATTTTTTTTTTTTTTGCGATGGTAGTTTTGTGAGAGCTAAACTAAGAACATACACGAAACAGCGCCCAGTGACCAATGGACGTCCCATGGGCACCTGCAGCCAGCCGCTGGGTGGGGCGGTAGGCTTGGCTGCAGGCAGTCGTGAGGCCGATTTTTCATGCTCAGAATAATCAAGGGGCAAATCTGGAAAAGTCAGTGATATAAATCGAGTGCTGATCACCCTTTAAAGGGACATCCACAGAACTGGCACCTATCGTGGGGAGGGTCGCCGCCCATTTGGATTGATTCTTTGGGAAGCCGGAACAAAACGGTGGCTGTTGATAAAACTTGTCAACGGCGGATTATGAATGCGGTGTAAGACTGTAAGACTGTTAAGTTATATTCCCACTTTTACAAACACCGTCAAAGGTAGCGGCGGTTTATGAACACCGTGAGTCTGGATTTCCAACCAAAAAAAAAAAAAAACTGTACAAAAAAAAAAAAAAAAAACTGAAGTTACTTAAAAAAAATATTCTTGGAGTACAGCGATTTTTTTTTTTTTTTTAGCACAGGCTCCAATCTATTGGTGGGGAGCAGCACGTGCTGAGAACTGGGCTCAGCGTCCNAAAAAAAAAAAAAAAAAAAAAAAAAAAACTGAAATTACTAAACAAAAAAAAAAAAGTAGGGCAGAATTTGATTGTCTACGGGATGGGTTAATCCTTTGCTTGAGGGGAAGCAATCAATGCTCAGTGCGCATGCTCTATTCTGGTTGACTAGGGAAGCTGTCTCTGTGGGAGCAGTGGCCGAGGCTCTTCCATCCCTAATGGGAAGAGGTGTGTGTTTGCATTGTATTTCAATTTGCAATTTGAGCCTTCCGCCCAGCGTCGTTCTGGCATCAGCCAATCTTGAACTTGTGGATATGATGGTGAAACCCGCCGTAGGACGATCTGCTGAATCCACCACCGAAACCAAGGTTTCAAAATATTTGTCTTTTCTCATGCACTGGTCTGGTCGTGCTTGACATACCCAGACCACCTAAACCTTCCCCGCTAATCTCCACTCCGGCAAGACTTATCACGGTGGAGCCACCATCTCCATCGCTGCTGTGTCCTATTTCCGTCCTACCAACTAGCCCTCTCGCCAGCAGGACGCATCAGATCCTTCCAACTACTAAGCCCACTTAGGCAAAAGGCACTCACCCCTACCTATGTGACCCCAACATGGAAGGGGTAAGCTGGAGAGGGGAAAAAAAAAAAAAAAAACCATCCAAATCCAAGTATATCAAACACGATCATTGCAAAAACAAGGTACTAGATTACAACTCTGCAGGGCGAAATTCCGACACTTACGAATTTAGGGTTTTCAACTCGATTATAAGATCAATATCCATAGATCCCATACACAGAAATTGTTTCACGAAAAAGCAAAACTTAGACAAAAAAAGTTAAAAAAACAGGATTCTACTATTTGAAATCGCAGATTATGACATCAGAAAGTACAAAACATCAAATTATGCGGCTCAAATTTGGAAAACAAAGATTAGGAAATTAATTTTGATGTCCAAATAGACTTACAAATCTTCCGGCTGTGGTTTTCAAATCCAAAGATACAGAAAGTAGCTCAGAAAATTTACCAGATGTCTTTTTTTTTTTTTTTTTTTTTTTTTTTTTTTTTAATCTGAAGACTACTTTTGATGGTTATATATGGTACAGAATAAAGTAGTCGATTGTATTTTTCCGACCATCAATCTACGAAAAAAAAGAAGTTACGAATTGAGAATCAGACAAAAATCAGATTTACAAATCATCCGTCGGATGTTGAGATCGGCAACATTCAAATTAATTCACCATCCAAAAAAAAAAAAATCAGGAAATAGTTCAAAGACTCTATTTACAAGACACCAACGAGGGTGGAAGCCTAAGTTGTTAAATATAACCTATAGTACCTATACCGCATTCTTTGGAGGCCGGCGGAGGCTGGCCCTGGCTGGGTGCTACTCGACCAAAAAGGTCGGCGGTGCCAGCCAAAACAAAACTCCGCGCTTGCGCTTCGGGCAAAAGGTAGGCGTACAGTTCTCGGAGGTGACGGTGGTTTAAACCACCAGTACATCACCGTCACCTCCGTCACCTCCGAGAACTGTGCGCCTGTCTTTTGTTTTTGCTTCGGGCAAAAGCTTTGCCATGTTTTCGCTGAGCTCGGTAATGCCCTGGAAGCCAAAAACAAATTGGGACAGGGATGGCTGGTGCCGCCGGCCAGCCATTTTGCTTTGGAGACCGAGCCCCGGAAGTTGCGATACGCGCACAACAAGCACCAGTGGCCAATGTATTGGCCAAGTACTGGTGGTTTAAAGGCTAATTGTTTTAAGTCCATCCACAGACGGTGGGTAATTTTTTAAAGCCCAACCAAAGGTGGATGCTAATGTTTTTAAGCCCAACCACAGGCCGAGGCTGGGTGCTACGGGACCAAAATGGCGGACAGCGCCACCCAAAACAAAACAAAAAAACGCCGCGCCGGCGATTCGGGCAAAAAGCTAGGCGTGCAGTTCTACTCCAGCTTTGCAAAAAAGGCTCGGGGGTAGTGGTTGTTTAATTGACTACAGGCACTTCTGAGGCACTTTTCCACGAGCCTGGAAACACCCTGCAAACGAAAAACAAAACACAAACGAACCGTCGTGGCCTCCGTTTGGCTCGTGCCACCGGCCAATTTTGCTTCGGAGGCTGAGCCCCGAAAGTTGCGGCGTATATACGACAAGGGCCAGCGGCGGATGTATGGGCCAAGTGCGGGTGGTTTCAAGGCTAGTTCTCTTACGCCCGCGCTACCACAGTCATTCTTTCTCTTTTTGTTTTCCTTGCTTCACTTTATTTCTTTTAATTGCCTCTTCCTCTTCATTTGTGGAAGAAGGCGACAGTACGTAACGGAGATTCCGTCCCCACACAAATCAGATACAGTCAATCCATGGACATCCCGCTCGACGCCCATCTTGCCACCACATACCTGGCCCAACCCCTCGAAAAAAGGGCAAGGAAAAAGGACCTCGTATGCATGTCTGTTCGCCACATAGCCCACAAGCATACTCACACTAGGACCATAGCCTACAAGCATTCCTCACACTAGGAACATAGCCTACAAGCATTACTCACACTAGGACCGTTCGATGCGTATCTGGTCTTCATCACGGCAACGAGGAAAGTCCTGGTGTAATTACAGCCTGACGTACACTCAAGAAGATTGAGAACGAGGGCAACCACACGCAGTCTATCGCTCAAAATCGAATGACCATCGACTGCACGGAGCGCATCCACGTCCACGTACAGGTCAGTCAATCAGCCCCATTTGGCAACCTGGTGCTGCTCGGCACCACGTTGACCTACCCGCTGAGGCCATACTCACACTAGACCCCATATACGGCCAGACGTGGATGTATCTGGCTGCACTTATGTGCACTTATGTAAAAAAGTAAGTAACAAAGTCCTAGTGTGAGTATGCCCTGNCTGCACTTATGTGCACTTATGTAAAAAAGTAAGTAACAAAGTCCTAGTGTGAGTATGCCCTGCCTCCCACTTGTGAACATGTAAGGTATTATCCCCTTCAAGAGATATCCCACAGGACAGGACTGGGGGTTTCACACAGAAACGCCCGACAAGGAACGAGCTACCGCATCCAAATGACAACAAACAACCCCGTCAAGAGAGATCCCGCAGTTCGAAGGCACCATTGATCTGTCAAAATCTCTTTTGATGTTTTGCGACCAATCTTTTGCAACCAATCTTTTGCAACCAATCTTTTGCGACCAATCTTTTGTGACCAATCTGGCATCCAATCCCTGAACAAATCCATTATTACTAAACAAAAGGACAATGGTGAGCATTGAGCAGGAGTGTTCTCGGCTTGCCGAATTGCCCCACGCACACACACACACACACCGATTTGCATGACGATTTCGAAACAGGCCCTCATTCTGCGAACTGGCCAGCAAAAGAGGAGGAGGGTACCTTCCCCTCAAGAATTAGACGCCAGGCGCGATTCCCACTCCCTTCCTTCCTCTTCATACTTCCACAAGGCTCTTCACCGAATCATCACAAAATGTTCCCGTGGAGGAATCACTTCCATTACTGGCCCGGTGTTTAATCCACCCCTCCTTATCACATCCTTTTGAATAATGATTCGCAAAGACGATGGGCGTGCATATGAATGACTCATCACATGAATGAATGACATCCAAGCCCATGAAGAGAGTGGATGTAGGTTATGGGAGCAGGAGGGAGAGTAAGGCCGCATGTGGGGAATGGCAGGCAGAAAAGACAACGCCACAGCCGTGCGGGGATGGCATCAGAACTGTTGCTGTTCTCGGTGGTATCTGTTGATGAAAGAAGGCACAGAACTGGAATCCCAGATACAAAACAACTCAGGAGGCTTGCACCTCGGAGGCTGGCTCGGGTGCATCACCAAACGATGGGGAGTTCAGCGGAAGAAACCACACGACTGTTCAAATGAAATAAATACAGTTGCAAGTAGTGCTCGACAATCTTTCTTTACGCAAAAAGGACCAGCAGGTCATGCGGAGCATTGTGGACGTCTTCGCACCTCCTGGCAAAATCTCACAGCGAAAATAACCGACCCCAATAATCACCTCATTCCCTCCTGCTTTCGCTCGCACTCTTCCCTCCCTTTCGCGCCCCCTCTTCTCTGCAGTCCTCCCCACGCTTCCGCCCCCCCCGCCCCCCCCCCCCAACCCCCCCGGATCACCACAAGCCCTGCACCTTGCCCCCAGGTTTTGGTCTAACACCTGCCATTCTCCCCTGCAACAGAGAGAGTCCCGTCCATGACCGGTGGGTTTGTGCAGGGTGGGACATAACCCGGATTCTTGAAGGACCAGTCCAACATGAGTGGCTCATCACTCACTCGTTATTCTGTATCCACAGTGTGTTCTTATTCTACCATTTTCCAATGCATCTTGATCTCCAACGCCGCGCCGAACAAATTGCAACTCAAAGCCATGCAACCCTCCAAACACATTTCCCGAGGAAGACATCACAAACCGCATTGTCATATCGCTCAACCATCAGGCTTGGTGGGGACCACCGCTATCGATCTCGCTCTCACAGCCTCCCCAGGTACCTTATTTTAGCTAGCACCTCACAACTGTCCGATATGGCCCTGTTCCATCCCCCGCCGAACAATTGCAAATGCCATTAACTGGCTTACCCGCCTTCCATCAATAGCGCCAATCCATGTCAATCCCTGCACGCTCGAGAACCGAGTTCATCATCACTCTACGTTGCCCGTTAGTGCATGCAGACTGCTGCACACACAAGCCCTTCAACCACCTCATACGCACCTAGTTGTGTGTGGGAGGTCAGATATACCACCTCAAAGGTCGATCTTCCAGGGGCAGATATACCTTATTCGGCCCCCCTCTCTGACCCCTCTTTGACCCCTCTTTGACCCCTCTTTGACCCCTCTTTGACCCCAAAGCAAACACAATCCCTACGCTTTGTGTTTGCCCTCTTTGACCCCTCTGACCCCTCTTTGACCCCTCTGACCCCTCATGGATCCCTCTGACCCCTCTTTGACCCCTCTGACCCCAATTTGACCCCTCATGGAGCTTATCACGTGCTATCTGTCGAGGGAAGATAAACCCTCTTCCACCCCTCCGACCCCTCTTTGACCCCAAATTAAAGACAATCCCTGCACTTTGAGTTTGCCTGAGCTTCTTCGGCCATAAGAGTATATCATGTGCTATCTGTCGACCTTCCAGGGGCAGATAAACCCTCTTTGACCCCCCTCTCCGACCGCTCTTTGACCCCAAACTAAAGACAATCCCTACGCTTTGTGTTTGCCTGAGCATCTGGCAGCGGCAAGCCTATCATGTGCTATCTCATGCCCCAGGTGCTCAGAGCATCAGTACACCCCCACATGATGATCCAGACAACAGATAGCATACTATATGCTCCCCTCACAACCAGTATCTTGACCAAGCTCAAGGCCCCTCCCTCCAGACTGGTCTTCCTTTCTGCTGCTGAATCGGATCGAGTGCAACTAAACTCACCCTGAATGCACCGACAAGTTGGGACAACCGCATTGTGATGATCAAGTTGAAAGATTTGAGGGCACAAGTAGCACCAATCATGCACTATCCCACACCACTATCACTCCCAATGAACCCGCAAGGCGCTCCTCTCATTCCTCTCCCTCCTGCTCCCTCTTCTCCTTGCCCGCCAAACTACCAGCTCAAAGCTTGAAAAAGTGGGGCTTAACCCCTTCTTGGAGGTGTCAGCCTGTCACATTAAAGATCAAGCAAGCCCCATCCACGCCCATCTGCCATGAAGTAGCCTTTCAGCCCAATTAATCTCTCCCCGCCCCTCCTGCGAACCAAACTGTCTGTCCTCGACCCAGTCGTCACCTCCAGAATTCCTAACAGCAGGAAGGCTCAAAGTGATAAAGGTATAAGCTCCATGATACTGAACACCATCTCTTGCAACCCTCCCTCCTTAACTGACCGTCTCCCCACGGTCCCTCCGTCCCTTGAGTCTAACAACGGTGTCCATATCTGAAGGAGGATGAGTAAATATAGGAACTGGTGGGACCGTCAACTCCTAGTCAAACCCAACCACCACGTCGGTTCAGAGAAATGCCGACTGCCTCAGGTAATAGCGCCAGCTAGCAATTTCATGTGCAAATATAACCCCTCTTCACTGGAAGAGCTTTTCGGCGAAAGATCACAACGCCCTCAGTCGGGTTCTGCGCCGTAAGCGCTGTGTTTGAACCTGGTTAAACAGGGTTCTTGCAGTCTCTTGGCCGTCCGTCACCACCTTAGTGACTTTTCGCGCAGATTTCTTCTTAGGATTGAACAGATTGTCTGCTTCTGGCGAAAGATAACGCCACCAGATTGCCGAGCATAAGATCAAGCGCTGGCCGCAGAGGGACGGAAGCTTCAGCGCCCTCTGCTCTTCGATCGAGATGCTTGGGTCCCACTGTGGTTCCAAGGGCCACGGTTCCGTCCCATTCCGTTCTAAGCCTGGTCCTTCAAACGTCCGGTTCTGCTTCCATGGCTTTAACGGCCCATTAAAATGAAGAGCCTTCGCCTTCTCCGAAAACGGTGAAATAAACGGGCGCTTATCTGGCCGAAGGTACCCCTGTTCCTGGTAATAATCCCTCTCCCCTTCCGCAAACTCTACTCGCCCCAATCCCCGTACATTCCACTTAAGATCCAGCTTCTTGTAGTTCTTGTACAAGGACAACAAGAATGGAGGCTGAGACATGCCGCACCTGCATAGTTTACAAGCCAATTGAAAAAAACTGAGCAAGGAAAATGGTACGGCAAGGTCAAACCACCAGTACGTTTCACAGGCATTCCTTTTTTCGCCTAACAGGCTGACACACCACAAGCTGCAGCTTTCCGCGGCCTGGGCCACTTTTGACGATTTTCATCCATGCCCCCCGACCCCTAAAGGTCGCAGTGCGTGGCATGCCGCATCAAAGAGAAGTGGCTGGGAAACGTACTGCTGGCTTAAGAATCACAAGATACACAAAAGGGCAAAAAATACGCAAAGAATAAAGATGGACGGACATGATCCAACTCAATTTGGTAAAGCTGCTAAAGCAATCATTAGTCCAACATGTGACGACCATGTTAAAAATTCTCTCTCTCTCTCTCTCTGTCTGTCTGTCTCTGTCTGTCTGTCTGTCTGTCT